CTTCGTGCCTTTGTTTCCTCATTTGTAACTTGGAGAAGAGACTTATTTCCCAGGATTGTTGGTGTGAGGATGAAATGAGAAATTACACACAGTACCTGACTCACAGATTAAGTGCTTGGTACCTGTTAATTTCTTTCCATGAGTTCCATTTGAAGACAGATCATTTTGCTACTTCTTTTGTTCATTTAAGAGCCATGTACTGAGTTAGGACACGGAGGCGGGGGACGGGGTGGGCATAGGAATGAGTCCTGCAGGAATTCTGACCTTCACGGGCTTGCAGTTCAGTAGGAGAGATGAACTAGAGAGAGACAGAGCTATATATATTCAAACATTTAGAATATGATGAACTAATGAGAGTAGTTGAGACCTAATTGGGGATCCTTGACCCTGGAATAGGATATAAACATATGAAAAGTTATATAACAACACCAGGTATTAAAAGGTTCTGAATACTGGGCGTCCATCTTAACAGAATGCACAATAAGTTACATTATTTTAAAGTTTTAAATCCTTCAGAGAATTGTGAAATTCCATTTTTATATGGGTGTTCTGTCCAACAAAGCTATTTTTATATTCTGTTGTATTGTGAACAGAGTAGTATGTGTTGATGTGGCAATTACTCTTGGATTCCACTCACCTAACTGCATCAAAAGGAGCCCTGGTGGCATAGTGGTTAAACTGTCAGCTGCTAACTGAAAGGTTGGCGATTCGAACCCACCAGCCGCTCTGTGGGAGACAGATGTGGCAGTCTGCTTTCGTAAAGATTATAGCCTTGAAAACCCTTGGGGCTGTTCTTCTCTGTCCTAAGGGTCACTGTGAGTCATAATCCACTTGACGGCAATGGGTTTTACCACATCAAACATCCACCCACTGAAGAAAATCCTCAGAACCATGGGGAATAGTGGAGAAGGCATGGGGGCGAGGAGAGGAGAACTGGGAGTGGTGTGATGTGTGCATGACAGTCCCCTCCTTCCCTTCCTGTGTTCCAGGCCCTTCAGAGAGTCACGGTGACAGCTCCATTTAATTTCCAGGTTCTGTGGCCTTGGAATGATTAATTATAGTAAAACCCAAGCCTAAGAGAAGTATTAGAGTTCTTAAACAGAGTTCTTTTTAATGAAATTTGACCTAGTGTGTGCTGAGTAATTATTTAAAGCTGTGTGATCTGATATGCAGAGGGATAAATTCCTAATTCTAGACGAAGGCAGTGTGACCGACCTCTCCAAGATGATGATGTGAGTTTGTGCAACCAAGACGCCCAGCCAGTGGCCTCTTCTTCCTTGGGAGAAGACTTGCTGCTTGGGGGTCAGCTTTGGTGAAGCAGATCTCAGGAGGGTTTACAAGAGAGCAGTTTCCCTTCTCTATGCCCAGAAGACTTTTCATGTCGTTTGTGGGAGAAACAGAGAAGTACCAGAGCAGGAACATTTATCATCACAAAGAGAGCTAGAGAGTCAGTCACAGCATCAGTGAACTGAACTCACTTATAAACCAAACCAAACTCATTGCCATGAGTCAATTCCAACTCATGACGACCCTATAGGACAGAGTAGAACTGCCCCATAGGGTTTCCAAGGAGCAGCTGGTGGGTCTGAACTGCTGACCATTTGTTTAGCAGCCGTAGCTCTTAACCACTGCACCACCAGAGCTCACTTGTAGGGGTGGACAAATACTTACAAATTACTTCCCTTCCCAACACTGTGGAAGAAATATCCCCCATGCACATTTTAAGATGTGAATCCTCTCCAGGAACTTGAGTTTAACTGGAGAGACAAAAAAAACATGCATGATAGATAATTAATAATTAAACGGCATGCATAAAGCAATTAGAGCTTAATTAAATGCTGAGCTGAGTAGAACTAAGTGATTTTTTGAATAGTAATTGCACTCTGGTTTCAAATAACACTTCTTAGGATGGGAGGATAAACTGGGTCTTGAAGGATGTGAGAACAGTGTGGGGTAGGGGAAGGAATCAAATAGGCCAGGGAAGCTGGAGGCCAATCAGAGGAAGAAATGTCAAGAAGACGGACCAGAGAATAAGAGCAAGAGATACGGTGTGAATAACCACAGTACCAGCTAATGCTTAGTGTTAGAGATTGTTTAGGTGCGTTATGTGTGTTATATTCACTTATCACCTCAAGGACCCTATAAACTAAATGCTGTTCTTACTATCACCATGATCTCCATTTTACAGATGAGTGAATTGAGGCACAGTGAGGTTAACTACTTTCCCCAAGGTCATAACAACAGTAAGTGGAAGAACTGTGATTTGAACCCATGCATGCTGCTCCACAATCCACGTTCCGAGCCATTATTCTGTACTCTTTCTCAGTTAGAATGCAGGCTTGGAGTCAGCCAGATCTGAAAGCAAACTCAACACTTGCTTGTTACGTGACCTTGACCCGGCTTGTAAACTTTCTCAGCCTCAGTCTCCCTATCTGGAAAACAGAGGCAACAGTAATCCTCTTTGGGTTATTGTGAGGATTAAATGAGATGTTTTCATATGTCAAGTACCCTGAGCTCCACCTTTTGCTCAGTAATGTTATGGGGGGACAGAGGGAGAGGAGAAGGCTGTGGTGATGGAGAGACAGACCGAGGGACCAAGCTTAGGGTCTGAGGACAGCGGCCACAGGAAGGAGGAATGGTGCTCACAGTGGAAGGCCCGGGAACCAGGGCAAGAAGGGCCAGGAGCCTTCAGCGCTAAGACTTATGACACCGACACCCCTGTCGGCAGTTTATAAGGCAGCACAGGAGGCAGTTGTAAAACTCACCCCTTTTGTATTGAAACACAACTCAAAGGTGCTTCCAAACTGACTTTTGACTTTAGAGCTGCCAACAGCTAACGTATTGGGAAGGAAGGAAGAACTGCTCCTGCAGCTGCGCTCTCACTGCCTTTTTTCCTCCAGGCTTCACCTTGACGCTGCTGAGCAGAAGTCCATCTCTGACGGCCTCTCCTGCCCACCAGTGCTTGGGAGACTCTCCGCCCGCACACTGCAGACCTGCACCATCAGCGCTGAGATCCACCGCAAGGTCCTCAGCCTAGGAAACTTCTCTTTACAGCACTGCTTTGATCAAGGGCCACCCTCCCTCGCCCCAGGTTAGAACCTCTGTGCTTCTCCACTGTCTGCCTCCTTAGGGGCCGCATTCAGCCCCCTAGACCATCCGCACTCTCTCCCTCCTTGTCCCTAACTTCTCCTCTCCTCCATCTCTGGACTTCCACCAAACTCAGGTACTTACTGATTGGAACACAGGATGCTTCTCCTTCTCTCTGTGCCTTTGCACCAGGTCCCTGGGTGGTGCAAGCTGTTTGCACTTAGTACTAACCAAAAGGTTGGTGGTTCGAACCTACTCAATGGTGCCACAGAAGAAAGGCCTGGTGATCTGCTTCCATAAAGATTCCAGCCAAGAAAACCCTATGGAGCAGTTCTACTCTGTAACACATAGGGGTTGCCATGAGTTGGAATCAGCTCAATGGCAACGGGTTTGGTTTTTTGGTTTATGCCTTTGCTAGGTTGAAGCTGGAGCCCTGGTGGCGCAGCAGTTAAAGCAGTTAACTGCTAAACGAATGGTCAGTGGTCGGAAACCACCAGTGGCTCTGTGGGAGAAAGATGTGGCAGTCTGCTTCCGTAGAGATTTATGGCCTTGGAAACCCTATGGGGTCGCTATAAGTCAGAATCGACTTGATGGTAGCGGGTGGGTGGGTTGAAGCTGCCTCAGAGATGATGGAAATGCTTATATTGGTATTGCTTCTGCAAGGAGTTCTCTGCTGATAGAAACCCTGCCTGCCGTCCAGAGTTCAATGAGAACTGCATAGAGAAAATGATTTGGAGAAGCCAAGTCAGGAGGCAGGACAACCACTTTGGAGAGAGTCTCGGTGCTCACAGCAAGAGGTTATACTAAAGTTTCTGTTTGGCAAATGTTCTGCTTTCTCTCTTATTTGGCAGGCCTAATGTTTTCCAGACCTCTTTTCTAGTTTACTGGTCGGCTCCCCTTTTTTCATCCTAGGTTGTTGGAGGCTACCCCTCATCCTTCTCTTTCACTCCCAGTTTCTCCCACCCCTTCCCTCATCACTGGTCCATTTTCTGCTCCGACGTTTATTGTCAAGCACATCAGAATTCCTAAAACAGCCCTGTTTCCGCTGCTGGGGTATCACAGCTAATTCATTATTCAGATATATGTGGAGTTACGATCATAAAAAGCCAATGTCCTGGGTGATTTATTGTAATAGGGGCAGGAATTAGCTTGTTTACCATTATAAGAAAGAGTCCCGGGAATGGATTAAAACCTTGGGAGAGCATTTATGGTCAGACCTCAAGGTACACTAATTCACAGTAAGGACAATATTCTGCTTGACTAGTTACTGATGTCTTCTGGCCACCCGGGATGAACTTGCCCTTGTTCTGCCCATGCTTAGAAATTGCCTCTAGGTACTGTCTCCTTGTCAGTACTTACAATTACCTTATCTTTGTCTTATATTTGATTGGGATGTCACCAGTCATTTATAGATACTCTGATTCCAGCTTTTCACAAAGTGAATTGTAATTCTCTTACCAGGATGGGGCTAGGTATATTTCAGCTCTCAATACTAAGGAGAGAGCACCGTGCTGGTTGTCTGGTTCCAGCTCTTTCACTAATATGTTGAGAGGCCTGGGACAAAATACTTCTGAGCCTCAGTTTCCTCATCTGCCAAGTGAGGGAGATGGACCAAATGCTTCCTTTAGTGTCAGCTATGGCTAACATTCCATGACGACACACCTAGAATTACCACTAGGAGTGTGTACAGGCTTTTAATCTCCCACTGTGAGGGGCTGTGAGCTCATAAGCACCCCTGGAAAAAAGGCAGGGAGGGGTGTCCCTTCACTGGGTGCTGTGTTTCCTCAATATTCATTCTAACTCTGATGAGACTTCCTCCACTTCTCTATCTTTTCTTCCAGAACTCTCAGACCAACCCCACAGACTCATCACATGAAGAGTGCCTGAGAGACTAACGGTCAGCATTCTTTAAGATGGAGAAAACAGATGGTATGCAGACTGCTTTTTATTCCCTGTCTTAGAGTGAGCACTCAGGTTGGAAAGAGATTGTTACCATAAATCCTGGAAATAGGGAAAGCCTACAAGAAGACATTCCTCAAATAGGAAGTATTGGGAGGCCCAAACCAAGTATTTCAGATATAAACAATAGAAGGCAGTAGAGAATGAGAATATAGCCTTATATTGGATTTGTATAGTCTTCAGAGTGCTTTCTCATCCTATCCAAACAGCTATTACCCTTCTTATATAGATGAGGAACTTGAGATCTAGATAAAAGACACAATATGGTAAAAGAGCCTCCTTTCATACCTGTGTGACTCTACAAGTCAGTTAACTTCTGAGTCTCAGTCCCCTTGTGTATCCGCTAGCTTTGCTGTGTAACAAACCACCCCACAATTTAATGACTTAAAACAACAGACATTTACTATTTCTCAAAAGATTCTGTGGATTGAGCCACACTGGAATGGGTTGGCTAGGCCATTATTCCGGTGTGGGTCAGCTGTGGTCTTCCGAGTGGCTGGGGTGGAGGGCTGGATGTTTTAGAATGGCTATACTCACAAGTCTGGTGGTTGACCTCATGTCACCCTGGGGCATTGCTGATAACTTGGCCACGTGTCTGTCATCATCCAGCAGGCCAAAGGGGGCTTGTTCGCATGGTGGCAGAGGAGTTCCAAATGTAGCAAGAGTAACAAACCCCAGTGTGCAAGCAATTTTCAAGTTTCTACATATGTTACATTTGCTATTGACCCAATAGCCAAAAGCAAGACAAGAGGCTAAGCTCAAATCAGTGTGGGAGGGGAGAAACAAAGGTTCTGACGGTGCCAACAGTCTACCATACCTCATCTATAAACAGGTATTAATATCTACTTATGGGATTGGTAAAGGATTAAATGAGGTAATGTATGTAAAATTGTTGAGTAATAACTCTCCAGCACAATGAATAAGTAGAGCCCTGGTGACACAACCGTTAAGCGCTCGGCTGCTAACCAAAAGGTTGGCAGTTCAAACCTACCCAGCAGCTCCGAGGGAGAAAAGACCAGGTGATCTGCTTCCATAAAGATTACAGCCTAGGAAACCCTATACGGCAGTTCTACTCTGTCATACGGGATCACTGTGAGTCAGAATGGACTCCTCAGCACCTAATAACAATAACAACAACAGCACAGTGAATGTCTCAATAAATGTTCCCTCTTCCCATCCCCCAGGAATCATGCTGAAAGTCATAGACTAGGCCCCCATCTCCTGACTTCCAATGAGATGATGCTTTTTCCAGCTCACCAAAGTCAGGAAACAGGAGAACCTGTAATCCTCCTTGAATCACATGGCCCTTCACTGGCAGGATTTAGGGACCAGGCATCAGCTCCAAGCCCTGCTTCTTCCTTTTTCCAAATGCAGTTACCGTATATTTCAAGAGTCTGCCGTTCTCCCCAGGGAGCTGCCTTTTCATTGCGTCCTGGACGTGGTCCCACAGAACACCACTAATTCCCTTACTGCCCCGGGGGGCCTGTCATCCCTGCTCGGCCTCATCAGTCCCTGCTCAGCCTCCTCAGCACTGCTGCTCTCCTCATGGGATTGGCCACAACTGGCTCCAAAATGTCCCCCTCCCTGCAGGCACACTTTTCTCACATAATAAAGGCAGAAGAAGAAAAAGTCCCTGTCGCTGTCTTGGCCTTTTGAAGAGACTCATTTAATTCTCCTTCTTTCCAGGTTTATTTTTGGCCATTTTCTCTCTAGTTTCTGTTTTTCCCATTTCTTTTGTAAACAAAAGGCTTTTGAACTTTTCTTCTTCACCTTAAATGCTTCCAATTGGTTGTCTCACCTGCCACACTTCGTTTTGTCCCTCAGGATAATTACTGTAGCCCTTTCCTCCTTACCTTGTCCCGTTCTAGTCCACCTTTCTCATGTTTGGGTGTAACTCTTAGACTGGTGGCTGTGTTTGTAGGTCCTTCCCAAAGGTCGAGTGGTCTGTTAACGCTTTCTGAGGGAGACCCTCCAGGTAGCTCTGAGGCTCATGTATCTTGTTTCTGCCCTGACTCATTTTCACAGTTTCTCCAGAATTTTTTGTTTGTTTTAATCCTCATTCCCTTTGGAAAGTTAAATATTCTAGGGACAAAGAATATCCTCAGGGAATCCTCCCTCACTGCATTCAGAACCAACCCAGGTCTGGCTTTAGACCACTTTGTGAACACCTCCTATGTGCCATGCTCTTTACATGCATTAGTGCTGATAATCATGACAACTCCATATGTTAGACATTATTATCTCTAATTTACAAATAAGGAAATCAAACAGTTTTCCCAGGGTCCCACAGGTAATAGATGACAGAATCAGAATGCAAATCTAGCCAGTTTGGCCATGTGTTGGTTTATTGGATCTGAACTTCATTTTGAGCAGAGACAGTCCACCTAATAATTTCTTGCCCTGGCCCCATGCCTGGAATTTTTAGCTACTGCATACCTGTCACCAGGTGGAATTAACATGAGCAGAGCTTAATGTGGGTGGAGGTCTCCCAGCATTCCTCATGTGCTGGGAGGGAGAGAAGGGACGCAGAGTGGCAGGTGACAGGCAGTGCAGCATGATGGTTCACCGTGTGTGTGTGTGTGTGTGTGTGTGTGTGCATATGTGTGTGTGAGTGTGTGTGTGTGAGTGTGTGAGTGTCATAACCCAGAGCACTAGGTTCGTAAAGCCCCTATTAAACCTGTCATCCTGGATAGCTGCTCAATCTCACAGACTCCTTTGGTTCCCCTCATCTCCCTTGTGGAAGATTTTGCCTTTGCATCTGCTGTTTTTTGTTTGATGCTATTATTGTATTTGTTCTCTGGACCAGCTCCCAGAGGCTGCTGGGTAAATCAGTGCATTTCAACTGAATTGAGGCAATAAGAAGATAAATAATGCAGCTTCTCCTTTAGGAGAGTTGTTTGCCTTCTAGGTCATAAATCTGTTCTGTACTTAACTTTAGACACACGTCTCCTCTCTGATTTGGCCTGACCTTGTAATCCAGGAGGCTGCTGGGTAGACCTGTAGGCCTAGTTGTATAGCAGAGGGCAAGTTGGAAAGCCAACGTTCAGCTAGGAACAAAGGAAATGACTCTCATTTACTGAAACGACCAGTGTGCCTTTTAGGAGGGAACCAGGATGGTAAAAAATTATGTGGGTTAATGGGAGCTTATTTGGAGTTTTTTGGGTGCTGGAAGAGTGTTTACCCCTTGTCCACCTGAAGTCCAGGTGTCTGCTGCAGAAGCTCTGGAACCCATCGGAGACCATCCTTTGGATGAGCACCAGTGCCTCATTCTGCTCCCTGCTGTAGTTGTGACATAACAGCCCACAGGCCCTGTGGTTTTACTTAGCCTCGATGGCTGGTAGGCTCCACTGGGTCCATGTTCGTGAGTTCAGCCTTCATGTGTCTTGTTGGCTTCATTTAGTTCTTTGGTGATAACTGCACATGCTGAAGCATAGAGGGTCACCTGACAAGCATGTGACATGGCTACAAGAAGGAGAGATCAGGCAGGCACGTGAGAAGAGCTCAGCCCCAATCTGTCATCACCCTGAGGGAAAATGTCCCCAGGTTTGGTCATGCTATTGTTTGCACCTTTTCTTTAACCTGTCGCTTTCCCTCGTTGCGTATAGCTTCTCTCGCTATTACCCTTCTTATATAGATGAGGAACTTGAGATCTAGATAAAAGACACAATATGGTAAAAGAGCCTCCTTTCATACCTGTGTGATTCTACAAGTCATTTAACTTCTGAGTTTCAGTCCCCTTGTGTATCTGCTAGCTTTGCTGTGTAACAAACCACCCCACAATTTAATGACTTAAAACAACAGACATTTACTAGCAGTCTCCCAGCTAGTCTTGGGGCTTCTGGTTTGTCCTTCCTCTAATCCTCTACAAGAGTGCTCTTTCTGAAATCATACATTTGACCAAGCCACGCTCCCTTGCTTAAAACTCTTCAAGATTCCCGTTACCTAGAGAGTAAAGTCTAAGCTTATTAGCATGGCATAGAAGTTACTCCGTGATCTGGCTCTTGATTTCATTTCCAAGTTTACTTTCCCTACTCCCTGCCCTTCTCTACCACCTTTTAAGTTCCAGCCATATCAGCTGAATTTGCAGAACCCTGAAATGCTGTGCAATTTCATACATCCATGCCATTGCATGTTCTCTGACATATATCGAGAATGCCTGTTCTGGTTATTTGTTGCACATAACAAACCAGCCCAAAACTTAGTGGCTTAAAATAATCATTTATTATTAACCCAGTACTGGAGGTTGACAAGGAGCCATGGTGACTCAGTGGTTAAGCGCTCAGTTGCTAGCTGAAAGGTCGGTGATGCGAACCCACCAGCCGCTCTGCTGGAGAAAGTTGTGACAATCTGTTACCATAAAGATTACAGCCTTGGAAACCCTACAGGGTGGTTCTACTCTGTTCTGTAGGGTCGCTGTGAGTCAGAATCGACTTGACGGCAACAGATTTGGGGGTTGACAGGCTCAGCTGAGTGGTCCCTCCTGCAGTTGAAGTCGGATGATGACTAAGGCTGGAGCCACCTTAGCTTTTTAACTCATGCCTGCACCTGCACTAGGATGGCTGGAACAGCAGGGGGTTGATTAATCATCTCTCTTCCTCTCTCCATACAACCTCTCTACATGACTAGTTTGGGCTTCCTCACAACATGGCAGTCTCAGTGAAGTTGGACGTCTTACATGGCAGCTGGCTTCCCAAGAGTATACATTCCAAGAGACCCAGGTGGAGGCTACATGACTTCTTATGACCTAGCCTTAGAAGTCCCTCCACATCACTTCTGCCATATTCTTTGTTCAAAGCCGCCACAGGCCAGGCTAGATTTAAAGGGGTGGAGATACAGACTCCACCTCTCAATGTGGGATTAGCTTGATTGTATAGCACGGGTAGGAATTGATGGTGGCCATCTTGGAGATAAACTGCCACAATGTCTTCTACCATCTTGTTCACCTGGAAAATTCCTATCTATTCTTTTAATGCTCAGCTCCTGTGTCCTTTGTGTGACATCATCCCTTTCCTACCAAAGCAAAAAGTAACTTCCAAGTCCAAGAGAATAATTCTGGAGAAAGTGGGATAATAAGTCAGGGAAGAAGTACTTGTATGTTACCCTCTTGATCATACTGCATTGTATTTGTTGGTGTCTCTCCTACTTGACCATAAATTGTTTGAGGGTGGTAGCTGTACCCATGTTATCTCTGTGTCCTTAGAGTCTAGCCTAGCAACTGACGTGTAGGTGCTCAGTAAACAGTGGTTGAGTAAGTGAATTGAATTATTGCTCTTTTGTAATTTTGCACGATCTACTAAGCCATCAATCAGTCACAAAGACTTTGTTATTTATTTATTTTATTGTTGTAGTTTAAGTGAAAGTTTACAATTCAAGTTAGTCTCTCATACAAAAATTTATACATACGTTGTTGTGTGACCCTAATTGCTCTCCCTGTACTGTGACAGCACACTCCTCCTTTCCACCCCTGATTTCCCATGTCCATTCAACCAGCTTCTGACCGTCCCTGCCTTCTCATCTCACCTCTGAACAGGAGCTGCCCATTTAGTCTCATGTATCTACTTGAGCTAAGAAGCACACTCTTAACAAGTTATCATTTTTTGTCCTATAGTCCAGTCTAATCTTTGTCTGAAGAGTTGGACTCTGGAATGGTTTTAGTTCTGGGGTGACAGAGAGTCTGGAGGCTATGCTTTCTGGGATTCCTCCAGTCAGACCATTAAGTCTGGTCTTTTTACTAGAATTTGAGTTCTGCACCCCACCTTTTTCCTGCTCCATCAGGGACTCTCTGTGGTGTTCCCTGTCAGGGCAGTCATTGGTGGTAGCTGGGCACCACATAGTTCTTCTGGTCTCAGCATGATGCAGTCTCTGGTCTATGTGGCCCTTTCTGTCTTTTGGGCTAATACTTTCCTTGACAGAGACTTTGTTGAGCCTTTCTGTCAAAGGAGGGCATTGAGTCAAATGAAGTTGGTTTCCATCATGAGACTTTAGTTCTCTACATTTTGGCCTTCAGAAAGATAATAAATAATAATACTGAGCACATATAGACTGCTTATCATCTGCTAGGCATTGTTCTAGGTACTTTATATGTATTAATTAGTCCTCACAATAATCTTAAATGGTAGATTCCTGTGATTATTCCCATTTTACAGAAGGTGAAACACAGGGAGGCTAAGTCATTTCCCCAAGGTCTCAGAACTAGTACTGGCAGAACTGGGACATAAACCAGGTTCCAGAGTCCATATCCTTAACCTCTGGGCTCTCCACTAATGTTCTCTCCTAAGTACTGCATTTTGGGAGCACATTTAGCAGAAAGTCAGAGGTAATGAGAGTTGTCACATGAGGAACACTGAAGGAACAAAGACTATTTAACCTGAAGAAGAAGCTACTCAGAGACAAGTCCCTGTGGATTCATATATTCAAAGAACTGACTTGTTGTCAGCGTGCTCTATTGGCGCCAATAGGTGGATGCTGTAAGAAGATCAATGGTGCCTTGGTACAATGGAGAACTTTCTCATCGAGAAGTCCCCCAAATAGTCTGGGCAGCCCTGAAAAGTCATGAGCCCCATATCTCTTGCAGGATGTATGCCCATGTCCCTCTTGACATTAATTGGCCCAGTTCCCTCACCAACTTTTTTACAGTCTTTGAGAAATGTGATATTTCCTTACCTGCCATGGTTTTTGACAGAGGAATTCATGTTTGGTAAGCACTAAGCAGTTTTCAGGTGGAAAAGACCATGGGCTGTGCATGATTCCTTGTTCTAGTTCTCTCTCATATTCATGTACCTGGAGGCTCAGACATCTAAGGAAGCTTAAATAATGTAGAAGGCATAGTTCATTGATATCACCAGCCTTAGCAAGATTTATTCAAACCTATTTGAATAATGCAAAGTTCTTTTTTAATGCTTAGATAATTGTGTACCTCAACCTGTGAAATCTTCTGTATCCATAACTGCCGATTAGTACCCTGATTTGGCAAATTCCTGGCCACTTCAGTTCAGCAATTACATGACTCAAATCTGGAAAAACAGTCTGAGACAATTTTGTTTTGCTGATCTGCAGGCAGATTACACAGTATAACTGAGATGACATACTGCAAACTGGAAACTGTTTCCTCTGCCTCTTTCCTTGCAGACATTGGCTAAGTACACACTGATTTAGTAAGATGGTTTCCCAGCAGGGCCAAAAAGACTGTGAGCAGCATCTCAACATAATTTAGAGTCTGTACAGTTTAAGAGAAGGCTCACGTGATGTGCTAAGTCAAAATCAAAGGTATTAGGCTTCACTACCCTGCAGTGCTTATTAACTTTGTGCTTCTTTTTCACATGTCTTATGTCTCTCAGCCAAAGACCAGCCCTCTCAGGTAGATGAAGAGAAAGACTCACCCAAGAGCCACCCTTACTCCGTGGAGACCCCATATGGCTTTCATTTAGACCTGGACTTTCTGAAGTATGTGGATGACATCGAAAAAGGAAACACCATCAAAAGGATTCCTATCCACCGACGGGCCAAGCAGGCCAAGTTTAGCACTTTGCCCCGAAACTTCAGCCTTCCTGACAGTGGAGCTCGGCCCCATGCTGCAATTCCCCACTCAAACTGGTCCCCAGTGGTGCCAAGGAAAGTGTCGCTCGGGACAGAGGAGCAAGCCCAGGCACTGCCACTTAGTGATTCCTCCCAAGCCTCAGCCAGCGGCGGTGAGGTGAGCTACCATAGGAAAGCCCTGCTGGCCGAGGCCACCAGGCAGTTGGAGGCAGCTCCTCCTGAAGATGCTGAGCTCTTCTCTGGAAGTGGACGGCCCCAGCTTTTGAGAGCATCCAGCATGCCAGCCACGCTGCTGCAAAACAGGGCCTCTGAGGAGCCCAGCCTACCCTCAGCTCTTACTCCACCTCCCACCCTCCCTCCACTTCAGGATGAAGGCAGTGTCTGTGATGGTACCTTTGGGCCTGTGGAAGGATTTGCAGATATTCACAGTTCCAGCCCACAAGCATCAACTCAACCAAAAGTCAGAGAGTTTGAAGACCTGGTGCTGGGGATTCCAGAGCTGGTCCAGGAGGCAGCCAAGCCTCTGGATGGTAAAGAGGAGGCTCCAAATCACCTCTCTTTCCCAGGTCCTCCTTCCTCATCCCAGAATGCACTTGTAGAGGATGCAGAAGACAATCGTGAAACCAGAGAAGCAGAGGTGGTGGTCACTCCTGGCTCCCCAACACCAAGTCCCCCACCTCTACCATCACCCATCCCTGAAAATGATCTCCCTCTAGAAGAAATTGAGCTCAACATCAGTGAGATCCCACCCCCGCCACCTATAGAGGTTGACGTGAGAAGTATTGGCATTAGGGTGACGGAGGAAAGCCTGGGCCTTGCCAGGGTAGATCCCAGTAGTATCTCCAGCCTGAAGCAGCAGGTTACAGCCCTTGAGGGCGAGTTGTCTGGAAGGAGTAAGGAGCTGGCCCAGGCCAGAGCTGCCCTCCAGCAGCAGGAAGAGGAAATAAAGGCCAGGGAGCAGAGGATTCAAGAGCTAGAGTTCGCTGTAGCCCAACTAGAAGAAAAGCTTAGCCAAGATAATGCCAGAGATGCTCAGGGCCAGACTGATGCCATGGTGAACACTGACCTTCTCCATGAACTCTTGACCAGGGAGTCGTTTGACAAGAGCATTGGGGTCAACCTTCTGGACATGACAGAATCTGAAAGCTGGGAGGCCAGAGGAGAGGAGAATGGCCTCCTACCGGGGCAAGGCAGCCACAAACAAGGGGATAAGAGCCCAGCAGAACTTGTACTATCACCCCAGCTGCCACTGCCACAGGGACCCGAGATGGTCCTTACCTATTCTTTACATAGCTGCCTTTCCACCGAACTCAAGATCGAAGAAGCAGGTTCTGAGCAGGAGGGAGGCCCTCAGGTAGGAGCCGAGGGTCTGGCCGGCAAAGCAGAAGGCTCTCCTTGGAGCAGCAGCAGAAAGGCTCCCCAAGCAGGGAGGGAGAAGGTCGGTCCAAAGCTTCCAGGGAAGGAGCGCCCAGAAAGGCCACCAGGCTCACCCACAGATGCCACCATTGGGCAATACGTTAAGAAGATCCAGGAGCTCCTGCAAGAGCAGTGGAACTGCTTGGAGCACGGGTACCCAGAGCTGGCCAGCGCCATCAAGCAGCCGGCCTCCAAGCTCAGCAGCATTCAGAGCCAGCTGCTGAGCTCTCTCAACCTGCTGCTGTCTGCGTACTCCGCCCAGGCTCCCCCTCCGGAGCCCCCGGCCCCCTCCTCCTCCTCTGCACCAGAGGGTAAATACTGGTGCCCCAGACAGGGAACCATTTCTCCCTTACAGGCCAAGTCAGAGGGGAAAAAATATTTTTAATGGCATGAATATGTTTTTGAAAAAGATTTAGGCCCCTCTGAGAACTTAGTGGAATTAAAGCAGATCTAGGTGACAGTGGAGGCTCAATACGCCTACTCTTGTTCTTGCTCTTGGGCTGGGACTGAGTGTAGGGCCACCACAAACAGCTGTACAGATTGCACAGAGCACAGGGATGCCAGACGAGGAGGGCAGATGGGAGCCAAAACCCAGCCCCCCTGTCTCTTGCCAAGCTGTGCACCTGCAGAACCGTGCCCACCCAGAGGGTGCTATTTCTCATTTCCACAAAGGCTGCATCCAGGTGATGTGGCCCTGGCTCTCATCTCCGGCCTCGCCTCGTTGTTTCCCGGGCCCCCGCATTCTGTGTTCCTCTCCGGTTCTTACACTGTAGAGGTTTTCTCTAGCCTGGTTTTGGAGGAGCATTATATTAAGATCTGGAATAGTTCACTGGAGATTTTCCCTGTGAGTGGTGTGTGCGTGTGTGTGTGCATGCATATGTGGGTGTGTATGTGCATGCATGTGTGAGTGAGTGATCCTCACGTGTGGAAATCTGCCCTTTGGCTGAGTAGTACTTCCTCTTGTAACAGATCAGACACTCTTCACTCTTGAGTAAAGTGGAACTATATTTCACTTTCCTCAGTGGGCAGTTTGTGAGTCTGCTTCCTGCCTCAGATCACAAGTTGGCTGCTTTCTCATTATTCGGTGCTAGTTCTAGTCTTGCCCGTTGGGAGATGCTTCCCGTACTTTTGAGCACAGCAAAAAGAGATTTGTGCTCTTGCTCACTTGTCTGCCATGCCTCCCCCACATCACGAATGTCAACTTGCATGTGAGCCAGGAGGGAGCACGGAGTGCCCTCCAGTAGAAGTGAGGTGCTGGGCTAGGCGTGAGAGACCAAAGTTCTACTCCTGCCCTGCCATTTACTGACCATATGACACTGAGGAAGTCTGAACCTCAGATTTCCTAGCCATAAGATAGGGGCAACAATAGCACCCACCCCACAAGGCACTTCTGTGAGAGTACTCCAACAGCTCCACCCCGTCATCCACACTCAGCCAACACCAGTTGCTGCTGAGTTAACTCTGACTCATAGCGGGCCCATGTGTGTCAGAGTACAACTGTGCTCCATAGGGTTTTCAATGGTAGATTTTTCAGTAGTCGATCACCATACCCTTTTCCCAAGGCACCTCTGGGTGGATTTTAACCTCCAACCTTTCAGGTAGCAACTCAGGATGTTAACCATTTGCACCACCCAGGGACTTCACGTCGAGTGGCATTATTAACAGGGACAGTTCTGCCAGCACTGAACACAAAGCTGGGTCTCCTAAAAGCCCCAAAATATTTGATTTACATCATCTGACTTCCTGTCCCTCTCTGCCTCCTCACACACCCTCAACCTGTACCTTTTCAAAGCAAGATTTCCGGTTTTGCTGTATTCTGGGGCATCCCCAAGGTCATTCTAACCTGTCATGTTGTGTCTGCCTAGAGATCTCCCCGTCGACCAGCCTTAAATCCATAATGAAAAAGAAAGACTATGGCTTCCGTGCAGGAGGTAATGGGACCAAAAAGAATCTTCAGTTTGTTGGGGTTAACGGTGGGTAAGCATCACTCGTGAAGCTCAGATTGCCTTCCTTGCTACCTCTCCCGCTGTCATCCTGAACGCTCTTTCGTGGGGGAGGCATCTGGCTTTCCTTCTTAAAGGGAGTTCATCTCAGTGGCCCTTTAAAGCCCCGTCTCGGGTTTGCATGTGTTTGACTTCTTGGGAGCTCTTGTGGTGTCTTGGAACCTATGTTTTTCATATGTTTTGGCTTTAGTCTCCCTCAGGGCCAGGATTCCAGGTGGCTTCTGGGAGCTTGAGGGAGAGGGCACAGGCCCTTTCAGGAAGGGACTTAACCTGAACCCCAACACTGAAACTAATACAAACTCTATTCATTTGTTGAATTTCAAATTTAATCTATTTGATTTTTTTTCTTTCTTTAACTGACTGCAAACAACCAAAGTGTTTTGGGAAGAAAAAGCCTTATATAGTCTAAACAAGGGAACATTGCATTGAGAATATTTTCTAAAGCATTCATTCAACAAATATTTATTAAATGCTGACTGTGTGCTAGAGGGTGAGGACAAAAAAATCAAATAAATCATGGTCCCTGCCTTTAGCCCACAGTTTGGGCATGGGCAGAGATAAGACAGGAAGCAAAGATGAGATGATAATACACCGAGGTGAGTTCTGTTAGAGAAGGCAGCCTAGGGCGCTGTGGAAACCGAAAGGAGGGCCCCACGGCCTAGTCAGGTGGTGGGTCCAGGAGGGTGCCCGGAAAAGGTTGGAGTCCCTGCTCATTTGGGTCACACCAAAAAGGAAGACACTAGAAGCAGACAAGGAGTGACGTCACTGTTGTGTGTTCTATGAGGAAACAACATGAGAGATGATGAAATGAGATGTCATGGGAGAGTTGCTGTCTCCACTTTCACTAATGTTGGCCCAAGGAGAAACCATTTAGTTTTGCACTTTCACCACTTCATGTACCAAAAAAGAACAACAACGATAAAAAAAAAAAAAAGCCTGTTGCCATCGAGTTGATTCCTACTTGTGGTGACGCCATGTATTACAGCATAGAACTGTGCTCCATAGGGTTTTATTGGCTGCAGTCTGTACAGGGAAGCCCTGGTGGTGCAGTGGCTAAGAATGTGGCAGCTAACCAAAAGGTTGGCAGTTTGAATCCACCAGCTGCTGCTTGGAAACCCTGTGGGGCAGGTCTACTCTGTCCTATAGGGTCCCTATGAGTCGGAATCGACTCGACGGCAATGAGTTTTGGTTTTGGTAATCTATACAGAAGCACATCTCCAGGGCTTTCTTCCGTGGCGCCACTGGGTGTCTTTGAACCACCAACCTTTTGACTAGTAGTCTAGTATAAACTGTTTGCACCACACAGTGACCTCATTGAAAAGAAGAATCCACCTAATCTCAAAGACTAAAGCAGGTCATATCTCTCCTCTGCTTAAACCCCCACAACGGTCCCCACTGCGTACCAAAACCTGGAAGGCCCAGATCGTGCCTCCCGCCGGCCTCATTTCCTGCCTCTGGCTCCTATCTTTCTTCCTCAAACATACTGCACTCAGGCCATCTCAGGGCCTTGGCATTTGTATTTTCTGTTCTCCAGCTTGAAATGCTCCTCTCCCAGGCATTCCTCATTATTTGTCACTCTAACGCAGTAGTTTTCTATCTTGGCTGCACATTGGAGACACCTAAAAAAAAAATCATCTCACAGCGAAAAAACCAAGCTTGTTGCTATTGAGTCGATTACAACTCATAGTGACCCTATATGACACAGTAGTACTGACCTATAGGGTTTCTAAGGAGCCCTTGTGGCACAGTGGTTAAGAGCTCAGCTGCTAACCAAAAGATTAGCAGTTCGAA